CAGGAGACCCTGAATAGCTAAAGCAATCTTATACAAGAAAAACAAAGCTTGAGGCATCACAATGCCAGATTTCAAGACATACTACAGGGCAGTTATAATCAAAACAGCCTGGTACTGGTAAAAAAACAGATAGATTGAGCAATAGAACAGAATAGAAACTCCAGAAATCAGTCTGCACATCTACAACAAACTTATATTCAACAAAGGAGCTAAAATCAATCCCTCAAGCATGGCCAGTCTCTTTAACAAATGGTGCTAGGAAAACTGGATCACCACATGCAGAAGGATGAAGCAAGACCTTTATCTGACACCTTCCACCAAAATCCACTCAAAATGGACTAAAGATCTAAAACAACAACCCAAGACAATCAAATTATTAAAGAACATTGTGGAAACCCTACAAGACATTGGCATAGACAAAGAATTCTTGGAAAAGACCCCAGAGGCACAGGCCAGCAAAACCAAAATTGACAATTGGGATTACATTAAACTGAGAAGCCTCTGCACTGTGAAAGAAACAATCAGCAAAGTGAAGAGAAAACTGACAGAATAGGAGAAAACATTTGCAAACTATACAACTGATGAAGGATTAATATCCAGAAAATATAAAAGAGATCAAAAAACTCAACAACAATGAAACAAACAATCCAGTTAATAAATAGGCAAAGAACTGACAGACATTTTTCAAAAGAGGAAATCGAAATGGCCAACAGACACATGAGAAAATACTCAGGATCGCTAGCTGTCAGAGAATTGCAAATCAAAACCACAATAAGGTTTCACCTCACCCCTGTTAGAATGACTTTCATACAGAAATCAACAAACAACAAATGCTGGTGAGGATGTGGGGGAAAAGGCACCCTAATCCACTGTTGGTGGGAATGTAAACTGGTAAAGCCACTATGGAAGATAGTGTGGAGATACCTAAGAGGTCTGAACACAGAACTACCATATGAGCCAGACATCCTACTCCTGGGAATCTACCCAAGGGAAATGAAATCAGCATATTAATGAGCCATCTGTACCTCCATGTTTACTGCAGTTTAATTCACAATAGCAGAGACATGGAATCAACCCAAATGCCCATCAACTGAAGATTAGATAAAGAAATTATGGGGGGGGGGGCTAGCGCTGTGGTGTAGTGGGTAAAGCCACTGCCTGCAGCGCCGGCATCCCATATGGGCACCGATTTGAGTCCTGACTGCTAAACTTCTGATCCAGCTCTCTGCTGTGGCCTGGGAAAGCAGTAGAAGATGGTCGAAGTCCTTCAGCCCCTGCACCCACATGGGAGAACCGGAAGAAGCTCTGGCTCCTACCTTCGGATTGGTGCAACTCTAGCCACTGCAGCCAATTGGGGAGGGAACCAGTGGATAGAAGAACTCTCTCTCTCTGTCTCTCTCCCTATCCCTCTCCCTCTCCTCCTTTCTCTGTGTAACTCTTTCAAATAAATAAATAAATCTTAAAAAAAAAGAAATTATGGGATATGTACACCATGGAATATTACACAGCAGATAAAAAATGAAGTCTGGTCATTTGCAACAAAATGGATGAAACTGGAAAGCATCATTCTTAGTGAAATAAGCCAGTCCCAGAGGGAAAAATTCTGTATTTTCTCCCTGACCTCTGATAACTAATAGAGTACCTAAAAGGCAACATGTAGAAATGCAATTGACACTTTGAGAAGCAATGATTTTGAACAGCTCTTCTCTTGACTGTTGAACAGCTTTTTGTTCTACATTTTTGTTTATCTTTCCCTTTCTAATATTTTCTTTACCTTTTTCTCTTTCATCTGAACCATTTAACTCTATACTTAACTCTATACTTTAACTCTATACTTAACATAGAGTTAATCATATATGTATCAAATTAATTGAAATTAGATCTTAGTAACGAATAAGAGTGAGAATAAGAATAAAAAGAGGATGGGGGTGGGGGTGTGGATTGGAGGGTGGGCACAGTGGGAAGAATTACCAAGATCCTAAAGTTGTAATTGTGAAATTATGACTTGCAGTCATAATTGCAAAGCAGTATAGTCCTACATACTTTCCTATGGACTTATTCTAAGGGTACAGCTTAACAACTTGCCAAAGGACCCCAAAATCCCTTAAGCTGGCTGATAAAAATAGCAGCTTAAGTGTTATAAATATTACATTGGTAGGAACAAGTGCTAAAGTGACCATATAAATAGGATCAAGTGTTAAAATGATCATATAAATAGGACTAAATGTTTGGAAATAATAATAGAATTAAAAAGGAATGAAGGCTCCAACATGGGAAGCAGTCCATACAGCCAACTCATAGAATAACAATCACTTTAAGTAATACTCTGATCTCAGAATCAGCCCTTAAATCACTCTGGTCTGGCTACAAAGCTCAGGGGGAACATTTCAGGCATGGAAAGCCAAAACACGCCAGCAAAAAATGTCCTACATAAGGGACCCCTTTGGGTAAGACCCCAGTGGAAAGAAGTGGCCACAAAGAAGGATGTACTTTTCTGTGAAAGGAGGAGAGAACTTCTACTTTGCTTATGGCTTTGTCAAGCTAGTGGATCCAAAAGGCTTCTATAGCCAAGGAAGCTTATGTCAAGAGCCTTAGGTGATCACTGATGTCACACTTAAGAGTGTTATTTGTTAAATAAACAACAAGAGTCATTGTACACTAACTTTCCATGCAGGACCTCTGTACCCAAAGGGTTGTACCATGAGACTTCATAGTAAAATTTGTTTTCAAGAATCACTTTCTTTTATTGTATTAAATTGAGAATATTATTATGTCTCATAAGTTATAGCTATGTCTAAAAGCTCAAAAAAGATGTATCATCCTTGGGTTCTTTTTTAAAGACAATCAAGTTTCTAAAAAGAAAGAAGGGAGAGGAAGGAAGGGAAATGAAGCAAATTCACCTTTGAGAAGAAATAACATAGAACAGCCCTTTGTCTAGACTGTTGAGTAACAGTTTTCTTAGCTTTTTATTCCATTCTTTTTTTTTTTTCACTTTTTCTTTTTTGGACTTAAAAGAAGAGGGAGGAGGAAGGGGGCATAAAGAGTGGATGGGAGGGTGAGTATGGTGGGAAGAATTACTATGTTCCTAATGTTGTATTTATGAGATACATACAAATAAAAAACAAAAAAATCATTCTTTTAAAAAATACTTATTTGAAAGAAAATTAAGATGGGGAGACACAGACACACACACACACACACACACACACACATACACACACGAGAGAGAAAGAGACAGAAGGAAAAAGATTTCTTCCATTCACTGGTTTAGTCTCCAAATGGTTGCAACAACCAGGTCTGGGCCATACTGAAGTCAGGAGCTAGAAACTCCATCTGGGTCTCCCACACGAATGGCTGGGGCCCAAGTACTTGGGCCATCATCTGCTACTTTTCAGGTGCATTAGCTGGAAGCCAAGACTTGAAACAACATTCCAATGTGCAATGCTCACACCACAGGTGGCAGTTTGGGGCTGGCATTGTGGCACAGTGGATTAAGCCACCATTTGCAGTGCCAGGATCCCATATGGGTGGCTAGCTCCTCCACTTTGGATCTAGCTCCCTGCTAACGTACCTAGAAAAGCAGCAGAAGATGGACCAAGTGCTAAGGGCCCTGCCCAACATAGGAGACCTGGAAAAAGCTCCTAGTTCCTGGCTTCCATCTGGCTCAGTTCTGGCTGTCTCAGACATTTGGGGAGTAAATCAGTGGATGGAAGATCCCTCTCCCTCTCCCTCTCTCTCTCTCTCTCTCTCTCTCTCTCTCTCTCTCAATTTCTCTGTGTCTATCTCCTTCTTTAACTCTGCCTTTCAAATAAATAAGTAAATCCTTAAAAAAATAAACATAAAAACAAGTGGCAATTTAACCTATCACACCACAACACCAGCCCTAATCTTCATTTTTAATGTATATTTCTATAATGGTATACTTAAAAGGAATGTAAGCAGTCATTCAGACCTGTGACTTTTCAAATGTTTTATGGCTGTAAATATTTAGGTGCAGCTATTTAAACTATTTTTAGTTGAAAAACCTTTTTTACAAACTAAATCATAACAGAAAAAGCCCAACTAGTAAGACTGCTCCAGAGGAAGCAACAACAACAACAACAACAAAAAATCAAGAACAGACTCCCATGTGCAACTCCATCTCTTCCCAGCCCAAATCCTTTCTATTCCCTAGGAAGGAGTTTGGATGAGTTTAGAAGCACTTATGTAGTCCAGTATCTTCCATTTTTCATATGAATACAAGTCAAAGGAAGTTATAATAGCCAAATTCCAGGTCTCCTAACTTCCTGTCAACTGCACTCTGAACTCTCATTGCCAGGCTTCTTTCTCTAATTATATTCAGCCAATTTTTGGTGACTATCCTATCATTGTGTGTTCTTTAGCAATACTACAAATCCCACAAATTCTTTCTTTAACTGATTTTAGACAAAGGAAAATTTATGTCATATTAGGTATTTTATTTACCAAAGCCTAAGAATTGGTGCCAGAAACTATAACTGGGTAATTTGAGAATCTATGTTGAAAAAATATGAGTTTTTAGGATAAAATGTAAATGGAAAGCCTTTAACTATACCACCATTTTTAATGAAAATATATACACAAATTGGAATAATTTTCTACATATTATTTTGGGGCAGTTCCCCAATCCTATACTTCCAACAATTCTAATGGCAAAATGTAAAATATATAGTGAGTAAACTCTCACATGGAATAATTCTGTCCTATCAATGAGGACATATTTGAATCCTAGGCTGAAAACACTGATGCAAAAAAGGCTTTAGGAGTAAGTTTCTCCACCTCATACTGAGGGGAACGGACATTCCCTCAGAGGTGTACAACCATGCAGGACAAAGTAATAGAAAAGCACTGAGATGGTCTCCATAATCCTTAAATGGTTTTAAGCACTCTTATGGAGGGGGGAAAGGCTTTCTTCTACCCAAAATTAAAAACTAAAGTCTAAGTCAATCATTTGAATAGCCTCAAATTAAACATATTCTTACCAAAGAACATTGGAATATCCAACTTGTCTTCTCTGTCTACTTTTCTCTTAATCATAACAATATAGACAGCATAGAGCATGGCTCCAACAAGAGACCAAATAGAACCTGTAAAAATCAACATAAGGACTTAAAGCATTTATTTATTAACTCATTCAACATATACTTATTCACAATTTAGTATCAGACACTACTTCAAGAAATGAGCATATTCAATATTTTAATCAATTACTCAAAAGATAACTATTATTTTACTATTTTTAGACCTTTTTTGAAAAAAGCAAAGGGAAATCCTATCAACAAATCTCTTGGGCTAGTGTTGGGGCACAGCAGGTTAAGTTGCCCACTGCAATAATGGCATCCCCTGTTGGAAGGCTGATTCAAGTCCAGGCTGTCCCATTTCTGATCCATCTCCCAGCTAATACACCTAGGAAAGTAGAGAATCATGGCCAAAGTGTTTGGGCCTCTGCCACTCATATGGAAGATCTGGATGGAGTTCCAGGCTTCTGGCTTTGGCCTGGTCCAGCTTCTGCTGTTGCAGTATCTGGATGGAAGATCTCTCCCTCTCCCTCTCTCCCTGTCTCTTCTTCTGTCAACTCTGCCTTTCAAATAAATAAAAATAAATCTTTTTTTTTTTTTTTTTTGGACAGGCAGAATGGACAGTGAGAGAGAGAGACAGAGAGAAAGGTCTTCCTTTTTCCGTTGGTTCACCCCTCAATGGCCGCTGCGGCCAGCGTGCTGCGCTGATCCGAAGCCAGGAGCCAGGTGCTTCTCCTGGTCTCCCTTGCGGGCACAGGGCCCAAGGACCTGGGCCATCCTCCATTGCACTCCTGGGCCATAGCAGAGAGCTGGACTGGAAGAGGAGCAACCGGGACAGAATCCAGCGCCCTGACAGGAACTAGAACCTGGGGTGCCAGGGCCACAGGCGGAGGATTAGCCTAGTGAGCTGTGGCGCCAGCAAAAAATAAATCTTTAAAAACAAACATCTCACACACATAATAAATACATGAAGTACTTTAACGGGAAATGGTATTTAAAGTATGAAATTATTTTGTTATAAAAATGGTTTGTTCATAATGTATGTAAGATGTGTATTATGAAAAACTATGCATGGATTTCAAAACAATTTTTGAACCAAAACAAACTCACACTCTTAACTCCATTTGCCACAAGTTTTATGAAATATCTTTGTATCTATATATATTATTTTATATATAAGGGGCTACAAAAAGTTCACAGAAAATGTGCATTATCTTTTAATTCTACTTTTGACAAACTTTATAAAGACTGACACAAAACTGCTCTAAGTAAGAAAGATATAAGGCACTGCTAGCTGAGCAGTAACGAAAAATAACAAAGAAAGCATTGGTTTATTCAATAAATTTCAAATACCTAGATAAAGTATCCAAGGGAAACCATTTAAGTTAGGTTCTGATCATCTTGGTTTTATTAAATCTAAGCCTAGGATCAAAAATTGTTTATCATATTTAGAACTGTTTCAGATAAGAATCAAGAATGCATGACAAAATTATTGGGTAAAAGTTTGATAGGAACAGGATATTTGTCTAGTCTCAAAGTATCTCTCCACACCATGTTTATTATCTACAAAGAAAAAAACAGTAACTTTATTCTGGAGCAATCTGGCAGAAAACACCTTGGAATTAACATCACTAGTCCCAGGTCAAATCAACATCATGTGCCTTCTGGTACAATGCACTGATCAGATAAGGAAACACATTCTTAGCATAAGTGAACAACTTCAATTTAATCATGAGGAAATCAGTCAAACTCAAACTGAGGGGCATTCTGCAAACAATTAGGCTGTATCCTTCAAAAGTGTCAAGGTCATAGAAGACAAAAACAGAGGCAGGAACAGTTACAGATTAAAAGAAACAAAAAGATACATGAAAATTAAATGCAACAATGATCCTGGACCAGAAAAAGAACCTTAGTAGAAATAACAGTGAAATTTGTAAAGGTCTATAGATCAGGTACTACAATTTTAATCAATGCTAATTCCTAATATTTATAACTGTAGTTATATAAATTATTAACAACTAGAGAAATGTGGATGAAGGTTATATGAGAATTCCATAAAGCATTTTTGAATTGTTTTTTACATTAATTCCAAGGAAAAGCTTTAAAAAAAATGCTGTTAGTTCCCATGCTCTGTATTAGCACACATGTGCACAAATGATGACATACACAAACTTCTTAGCATACTTCTATGCTCTTAACTGAGAGGTAACTTACCTATTGTATCTCTTCCAGCAGATTTTTCAGACCCTGATAGGTTTACCAGCACAACACCTCCAATGCTATAAGAATGACAGTCATTACTGATAAGCAAAATAATGAATTCCTTAAGAGGCTAATTATAAAGACAAAAATTATTTATAAGTGATAAAGTCTAACCTAACTTTGGGTAAAGCTGTTGAAGAAGTTCATTAATAAGAATTAATAATATTATCAGTAAAGCATATTATACTTCTTTTTTTAGTATTATACTTCTAATAACTAATTTAATACTCACAAAATGAATAATATTGCCTCACATGAAGGGCATCACTATTACCATTTGCATTTTACATGAGCAAACTAATGCACAAAGAGGTAAAGTCATTGAACCAAGACCAACTGGCTCCAGAGTCCAACATTCTTAAGTACTATTACCCTTCAACTGGAGAAAAATTAACCAACTTATCATTCCTCTGCCAATCCTTCTTTTGGAGATATAAATGTATTAAGTTAATATAGACTTTACATCGGTACAACTTCTGCTTACTGACAAAACCTAAGTTAACGGTAAAAATATCCTTACATACTTAAGTAATCCCACTTATCCCATGCTTTTAATGAATAAAAATAAGATCAAACTAAGAATACAGAGAAATCAGGTCACTCACTCAATTGCTATTTTCTGAGTAGCTAACATGAGTGAATGAGATGGATATGGTTCTTAGGCTCATGAAGCTTATGCTATTTTCCTATTTCTATGCATCTTCTAAATTATATACAATTTTTCAAGCAGATGGAATACTAATTTAAAAAAGTCTAATTCTCTCACCTTTTGATCAAAATGACCACGTGGCAATGGGAGAGGAATATTAAAAAAGAAATTATTGGGGCTGGTGCTGTGGCACAATGGGTTAATGCCCTGGCCTGAAGCACCAGCATCCCATGTGGGCACTGGTTTGAACCCTGGCTGCTCCACTTCTGACACAGCTCTCTGCTGTGGCCTGGGAAAGCAGTGGAAGATGGCCCAGGTCCTTGGGCCCACGCACCCACGTGGGAGTCCCAGAGGAGGCTCCTAGCTCCTGGCTTCGAATCAGTGCAGCTTCGGCCGTTGCGGCCAATTGGGGAGTGAACCATCAATGGAGGACCCCCCGCCTCCACCTCTTCTCTATGTGCAACTCTGACTTTCAAATAAATAAATAAATCTTAAAAAAAAACACTTAAAAAAAGAAATTATTTTCCCTTGTGGAACAGTGCTGTCATAAGTCAAATGTAATCTTTATATTAAAAATTTGTTATCCTTCAGTTAAATGACCAAAGTTCTCAGTTAAATAATCATTTAACTGAATCAGATTCAGATATGATTTGATTACCAACAACATTCCAGAAATCAGAGATTTTATTTCCATTTATATGATGATGATTGCTAAATATAATGAGCATCTGTTACATACCAGATATTGTCTCAAACATTTAACAAGTTTTAATTCATTTAATACTTTTGACAATCCCAGACAACAAATTCTACTACTATCCCAATATACAGAAGAGGAAATTTGCACAGAGATGTAAGAAACTTGCCCAAGGTCTCAAACCTAGTAATGATGGAAGTGGAATTAGATTATTATATTAAAATAATAAGATTCCAGGTGGGTTGAGGCCACTCTTTCTCATTGATCAAATGAGATTTCTTAGCTTATCAGATTTTCTTCAAGATTGTTGCAATGTCAAATTCTTTTTTATAACCTCAGAAACTGAACGTTATTGTTTAAGGCCAGTTCATAATGAGGTACTAAACAACGTTTACTATGACATTTTAAGAACATACAATACTACTTGTTTTAAAGCTTTTTTTTTTTTTGACTGCTAGGGGCGAAAGCCTATGCTGAGGCTTTAGGTCTCTAAGGATTGACAATCCAGTAGGAAGACAACACAAATATGCACACAATTAAATAAAGATTGAAATATAGTTATTAGCAATATTGATGTTGTGCAGCAGTACAAAACTAATAAACAAGTTATACAGAAAATAAGTGAAAGATCATTGGAGGGTAAGACAAGAAAAGAAAATTGAATGTTAGATTTTTAGAAAAAGTACAAGGAGAAATCAAAACCAAGTAAAAAAGGGGAACTTGTCTCAGGAAAAGGAAATTGAAACCCAGAAGGTTATGAGGATTGAATTGCCACATTAAGTTAAATGTGAGCATCAGGATAATATTAAGTGTGTATTGACATAAGTGGGAGTCAAAGACGTCATGGGGCTTCTTCCTGCTAGTTACCCTACCCAGAAAGGTTTACAACTGCTCCAGCACGTGATGCAGGACTGAGTAGCACAATGCCCACTTAGGCCTTCTTGTATCCTCATCTTTGTTTGTATATTATACTACAATATAAATTATTATGACTATTTTTTAACATTGTAGTTTTAGGCAGAGAAAACTACCTATTATACTATGAATATACTAATATTCTTACCTTAAAATTACAGCTAATAATTTTGAAAGGGTAAATCTATCACCGCTGTTACTAGGAAACACTGCAGCAAGAATTAAGGTAAACAGTCCTATGGGGAGAAAAGGATGAAAACAAGGTACATGAGCTTAGAGACTGTTACCATTATTTAATATCATCTTCATGGCTTCATTATAAATCTAACAAATTATTCTTTTGTCATTTTTAAATGACTGTGACTGCAGTTATCTAGGCTGAAATGTTCAAAGTCATACATCAAAATTAAACCACGTTTATCTTAACTGTACAGATCAAGGAGAGTTCTATTTATTTTAAAATAATAAAGGAGTTAAGCATCCAGAATAACATTCTGACTTCATCATATTCCAGCCTGTGTGCTAAAGTTATTTTTACCACTTCAAAAATACTTCTTTTATCTTCCAGATTTGGAAGGTGATTCAATTTTAAAAATAAAACACCTTAACATGGGGAAAATTATAGTTCTGAAAGAAGCTATTATATTTAGTTAAAGGGTCTAGAAAAAGATCTTTAGAAAGGATATGTGCAGGGAAAGAAAACTAGCTACAACTATAATATAAAGAACCAACTGAAATACTTCAATATATTGGCATATAAAAAATTCTGTAAAGTATCTGAAAACATAAACAGCACAAGACTAAAAAAAGAAAATATGAAGATTAAAAAGCAGTTACAATTACACTAATGTACCCTAAAATTAATGTAACAGCTTAGAAGATAGAATTTTATATACATATGCAAATATGTATATATACCAGAAATATACATGTATCAACTTTATAGCAGATTTGAAGATAAATTTCTTACCAGAAGTTGAAGACAAAATATTAACTATAGCAACTTGTGTGTCTGAAAGTGCTTCTTGATAAGACAAATTTGCCAAAAACCACTAAAAGAAAAAACAAAATGATAGACATGTCTGTATCTTTTATAGCAACTTATAGTGCTCCCTTTTTTTCTTTTCCTAAACACTTTTACCATGAGAGATTTTAAAAGCTGCTTCACATTAAAAAAAACCACAGGCCCAAAAGATAATAAACATTTGTAATCAGACCTAAGATCATGTTATCCAATTTCCCTTATGAAATTAACAAAAATTGGTTGAAAGTTACCTTTCTTTTTAAAAGAAAGTAAAATAAAATTAGGCATTAAATAACTTTTAAAATTTGTTTTAATCAAGCACCACTAGCACTCTATGAAGCTTATTTAAATCAAATTTAAATTGGGGAAAAATCTCAAACATTAACACATATATAGGTGAATAGCATAATTAAGAACTCCATTAAACTGAATGTGTCCATGCAGAAAGATGGAACTAGCTAGCTAGCTAGATTGATAAGCAAAGGCTACATTTACTTCATAAATTTAGAAATGTCTAATGAAAATTATTAGTTTATTGGTAATTATTTATATGATTATTATGAATCATCTGGGATTAATTATATGATTCTGTTTGGAGATACAACGCAAAGAAGTTCTTATAATTTTGGATACACTGAAGGAAGTTTTCTAGCTATGAGGAGGATTTTATTTCTCTTCCTTATCTTCTGCTCCTTAAGCTTGGGATATTCTTAAATTCCCAATCCCACACCTACTTTGCTTTAGGAAAAGGAAATAAAATCTTTTTTTGATGAAGGGTGATATGATGTCCAAAGCTCATTTATCTTCATTAAAATTGATCTTTTTTTTTTTTTTGATAGCTAGATACTTCACTATTTCAAGCATGAGTGTTACTAAAGCATATACTTTACAGAAGTAAACTAACTGTTAGTCTAACTATTTTGGTATTTTTGTTACTGTCACAGATTCCACTGAAGACTGCCTTGTCTCTATTGAAAGGGACATATTTAGATCTCTCTCAGAATTTATAACTAAGTATTATGAAGTGCATAAATGTAAGATATCAGGATACTATCAGAGACAGCAGATGGCTAAGAGTCTAGTGATCTCTAGTCTATAGTGTAATTGAGGCTAAAGTCACAGTGCAATTGTGTCTATGTGTATGATTTCATCTATTTTTATTTATTTATTTATTTATTTTTGACAGGCGGAGTGGACAGTGAGAGAGAGAGAGAGAGACAGAGAGAAAGGTCTTCCTTTCCCGTTGGTTTACCCTCCAATGGCCGCCGCGGCCAGCGCACCATGCTGATCCGAAGGCAGGAGCCAGGTGCTTCTCCTGGTCTCCCATGGGGTGCAGGGCCCAAGCACTTGGGCCATCCTCCACTGCACTCCCGGGCCACAGCAGAGAGCTGGCCTGGAAGAGGGGCAACCGGACAGAATCCGGCGCCTCGACTGGGACTAGAACCCGGTGTGCCGGTGCCGCTAGGCGGAGGATTAGCCTAGTAAGCCACGGCGCCAGCCCATTATTTCATCTAAAGTCCATCTGATTTCCTAGATAATTTCACTTACCTATCTAAATAATAAGATGAGGTAGCAATTGATGAAATGGGTACTATCAGCCAGCGCCGCGGCTCAATAGGCTAATCCTCCACCTAGCGGCGCTGGCACACCGGGTTCTAGTCCTGGTCAGGGCGCCGGATTCTCTCCCGGTTGCCCCTCTTCCAGGCCAGCTCTCTGCTGTGGCCAGGGAATGCAGTGGAGGATGGCCCAAGCACTTGAGCCCTGCACCCCATGGGAGACCAGGAGACGCACCTGGCCCCTGCTTCAGATCAGTGTGACGCGCCGGCTGCAGCATGCCAGCTGCAGCGGCCATTGGAGGGTGAACCAACGGCAAAAGGAAGACCTTTTTCTCTCTCTCTCTCTCTATCCACTCTGCCTGTCCAAAAAAAAAAAAAAAAAAAAAAAAAAAGAAAAGAAAAAGAAATGGGTAACATCAAACATATACAGCTGTAGGATTCATAATCTATCTGTAGTTGAATCACTAGACAAGAGGCAGATACTGCCCCGAATTATCTTTCAGAGATTTTCTGCAAGAACAGATAAGCTTATCGGGTGTAAGTAGCTTTATTAACCCAATTCTTGTACTACTTTAATATTTAAACATTTTGCACATTTTCCAAACAATCTCACCAGTCTCTGCTAATGGAAGGTAAAGAAATAACAACAGAACACTTAGATGGCAGGCATTCAAAGATCATAAAAACTCATTAGCTTCCCAGAAAGACCTTCCCATTCTCTACCTCTCCCAAAACTCTATTCTCTGGCTCTCAACCCAGGGCACTCATAATAAAAGACCTATTCCCACTTTACTCCAATAAAAATCATCCATACATTATCCACGACTCATTCTATTACTCCAGAGTTGAGGACAACTACTTACTAATAATTATAGGAAATAATTTATATAACATTTCATTGTTTCATTCATAGTAATTCAGTTTTAAATACCCATAAAAATATTCTAAGAGATACTTAATTGACAAAAATTATATAAATTCAGAATATACAAAGTGATGATTTATGTATGTATATGATATATATGTATATATACACTATATACTAATTATCACAAATTAGAACACCCATCATCATCCACAGTTACTACTGTATGTGGGGGGTGGTAGTGAGGACATTTAAAACCTACTCTTAATAAATTTCAAGCAAACAGGCACAGGCGTTTGATGTAGTAGTTTAAGTTGCTGCTTGGGCTGCCTCCATCCTTTACCAGAGTGCCTGGTTCAATCCCCAGCTAATCTGCTTCGGATCCAACTTCCTGCTAAGGCACATCCTGGAAGGCAGCAGATGACAGCTCAAGTACTTGGATCCCTGTCATACATGTAAGAGATCTGGAGAGAGTTCTGGGCTCCTGGCACTGGCTGGTCCAGCCTTGGCTGTTGCAGCCATTTGGGGAATGAACTAGCAGATGGAAGATCTCTCTCTGTCTCTTTTTGTTACTCTGTCTTTCAGATAAACAAATCTTTTTAAAAAAAAAATCTATAGGAAATTCTGTGGAATTACTGTACTTGCAAAAATAATACTCAACCACATTTACATGATTTAATATAAAGTGTAAAAACACATACTTGAACAAATTAACATGTATAATAAACTCCTATGTGGATTTTTACTATTCCCTTGTATTTTATAACACAGGGTAAAATAAATATACTCATAATTCTAACTCTGAGAAAATGACAAACTCTGAAGAACTTCCTAAACTGCACTTGTGTGTATATGAACAGTTTCACTGTTGTAAAATTCATTGAATTACAATTAATATATTGAGGTAACGATAATCATGTATTAACTCTAATTCCCCGTCATGCCAGAGAGTAGAGTTTAAAGTCATGATTAGGGGCCAGCGCCGTGGCTCACTTGGTTAATCCTCCGCCTGCGGCGCCGGCATCCCATATGGGTGCCGGGTTCTAGTCCTGGTGGCTCCTCTTCCAGTCCTCTCTGCTGTGGGCCGGGAGGGCAGTGGAGGATGGCCCAAGTGCTTGGGCCCCTGCACCCGCATGGGAGACCAGGAAGAACCACCTGGCTCCTGGCTCCGGATTGGCGCAGTGCCGGCCATAGTGGCCATTTGGGGAGTGAACCAACAAAAGGAAGACCTTTCTCTCTGTCTCTCTCTCTCACTGTCTATAACTACCTGTCAAATAAATTACAAGAATAAATAAATAAAGTCATGATTAACAACAACAAACAAAAATTAACAATCTGAAAGTCTTATACTTTAATACAATATTGTCAGTATACAGTCTTTTCAAGTTCCAAACATATAATTAAGAAACAACCTACCACAAAGCAAAAAAAAAAGCTAATTTTTGCTACTTGAGTTGCAGTCAGTTTCCCCACAGTTTTTAATATAGATTCTTGTTCTTTCACAGTAGGATATGACATGCGCGACAACTTCGCTTCTAATGCATGGCTTGATGGAAGCTGTCGGATCTCCATGATATTACTGAACCTTACACGAGACTTTTTGGGAGCTTAAAAGGAAAGCACAACACAAAATCATTAAATGTTTCCCCTTGCAATCAATAAAATCTAAGTTGTGATTTAATGATAAGTATATACTATTTAATTCATCTATGACAAAGGAAACCAGAGTTATGTTATTACCTGGGGCATCTTTGTCTATTCAAAATAGTTAACTGGAAATATGGTTTCATCTATGAAAATGTTTGGAAGGTTTTAAAATGAGACTAACAATTAAACATGTCTTCTGGAAATGTGTAAACTGCCTGCTTCTGGATTTTAGTATGATTATTGTTTTAGCATTTATAATAAAATTTTGTTTGGATTTTTCTTCATGAATACTCAAATTATAAGAATTATTTTCTTGGGCAAGCATGCAGATTATTCCTGTATAGGTCCATTTCTTGTGAGAAAAATTGTGGGTAAACCCTATGTTTACACTGAACCTGGTATGCTTTAATAAATTCACAGAACCCTCAAAACTTACCTAATTTGCTATGAGGGATTTAAGGGCATATGGAGAGGATACTGTTCATTTGAAAAAATATATTTATGATGAAACCATACAGACTTTTGGTGCTTGGATTTCTGGTTGGATCAGTGCAAAAATGATTATATTGTATCAGATTCACAATCTAGACAAATGTGTAGAAGACTGCAGGATGAGCCAACACATGTGCAACAGAAGCATTACTGGGGAATGCCAGTCAGTCTAGCAAACCACAAGTTTAGGGCTGAGTGGGAGGCTTTAATGAGGCTAAAATTTCCCCCCCCCCTTCAGAGATATGAAATTGTAAGATTTGCTCACTTTTTTCAGTATCAATGCTTGTACTCTCAGGTTTTTCACTTGGAAGATCATGAAATTTCACAGGAACATACAGAGGTTCACTCTGGAATGTAACAGAAACAGAACAAAAACAGCCAGTATAAAAGATGATATGGTGGCTACAATTTAAATGTAGATCCAGATACCATCCAAAACACCATGTTTACACGTCATAATTTTCCCAAAACATGTTTTTAAGGAAACTCAACTAATTCATCAAAGTATAATGACAAACAATAAATCAGTTTAAAGTTTGGAAATGTAATATAATAACATTGGGACATTATAACTAGGACAGGCTGAGCATCCCAAATTTGAAAATCCAAAATCCAAAATACTCCAAACTCAGATATTTTGTAAGTATGCTCAAAAAGTTTCAGATTTTGGAGCATTCTGGAGTTCAAATTTTAGGATAAGGGATACTTAACCTGTATTTAAATGTCATTAAAAAAAATGACCTCTCTCTCAGTTAACAGATTATCTCCTATCCCTTTTCATTCACTCTTTTAAAAAAATACATATTGAGCTCTGACTATGTCAAATATGGTTCTAGGTCTTAGGAACATAAGGGTGAGAAATGAAAAAGTCTTATCCTCAGTGATCCTGTAGTCTAAAGGGGAAGGCAGACAAGGAACAGCAATCAAATATACAGTTTGCATTAATAATATTTGCCACGGGGCTGGTGCTGTGGCGCATATGGGCACTGGGTTGAGTCTCAGCAGCTCTAGTTCCAATCCAGCTTTCTGCTATGGCCTGGGAAAGCAGTAGAAGATGGCCCAAGTCCTTGGGCCCCTGCACCCACATGGGAAACCCAGAAGAGACTCCTGGCTCAGCTCTGGCTATTGCAGCCATTTGGGGAGTGAACTAGTGGATGAAAGACCTCTTTCTCTTTCTCTCTCCCTCTCTCTCTCTCTCTCTACACCTCTCTCTGTAACTCTTTCAAATAAATAAATCTTAAAAAATCTTTTAAAAAAAGCTTTCCAAATTATTTCCTCTAACTACATAAGATTCAACAACAAAAGCATAAAAATTCCTGAAAACTTTTACACAATTAATAGGTAGCAACAAATGGCCACTACCATGACTTACTTCTTGCTAGGTACCAGGTACCAAGCAGAACAGTTAAACACGTGTACATTTTTCGCTGGTCTCCACAATAAGTTTATGAAATAGGTTCAAGAAACTAACATATAAAATAAACAAAGGAGGTGCTGGTGCCAGTTGGATTCCCTGCTGCTCCACTTCTGATCCAGCTCTTTGCTAACGCACTGGGAAAGTACTGGAAGATGGCCCCAGTGCTTGGGTCCCTGCACCCATGTGGGAGGTCTGGATGGAGTTCAAGGATCCTGGCTTTGGCCTGGCCCAGCCCTGCCACCGAGGCCATTTGTGAGTGAACAAGCGGTTGGAAGATATCTTTCTCTTTTTGTCTCTTCCTCTCTCTGTAATTCTGCATTTCAAGTAAAAATAAATCAATCTTTAAAAAAATAATAAAATGGTACACAATAGTATTAAAGCCTGGTTTGCCTAACCTTCCTCTAAAAGATCAGTATTTTTAGGTGATTCTAAATGACATCTATTTTTCAAATGTTCTCCAGGTGATCTAGTTTTCCAACCAGAAACAGTTTTATTTCTTTGATTTTTAACTCCTGACAATGACAAATGTTCAGTAAATAAACAAATAGGGTCTAGAAACAGACATGGTTAGTCTCTTTGTTATACTGTACTTATTATTGCTTCTCGGCCTTTGGCTAAGATCAAGTGTAGTATCTGTTCTTATCAGTTATACTGAACTTATCATTATAGTACTGGGCCTAACACAATTTGGTAGACTCATCTTATGGATAACAGCAAGGAATAAAGGAAGAATAGTCAGAAGGGTAGTCTGCTATCTCAGTTCTGATTTCTGTATTGACAGAGACAGCTGATATTAAATTACCTTGGCACATTAAGATCCCAAAGAAAAGAAAGGGCATTTTCTCTAAGTGTCAATAAACTTTTCTCAGTACAAACTTACACATTTAACTACACATTTAACTACAGTTCTAAGACACAAATAAAACAAAATGAAAAACTGTACTGTCAATAAAGTCACCAAACAAGGGCTTCACAAGCTGTTATTAAATTTTAGAGAACTTTAATACCATTCTCAGATAGAATGCCACATTTGGAAAGAAAAGAAGTACTGTAAAAACCACATTTTAAAGAGATGCCTCAGTAATGGTCTAACAAGAATGGATTTTACATAGTATCTCTCTAAATAGATTATAAATACTTAAGTAAATATGTTAATTATTTTATTTGCTTTCTTATTATCTGTCTCCTCCCTTACCCCAAACAAACACACACACTAGAACATAAGCTGTATTTTCAGAGCCTAGACCTAATGCTTAACACATATTAGGCACTCTAAAAAATGTGTGGAATGAACAAATGAACAATCTACTTACATATTCTTAGAGTCAAGTAGAAATATTTGTCTCTAAATGATAATGAGTATGAAGTAGAAAAGCTGGTAAGGAACAAAGGATTGTCCTTTACCATTTTCAAAACTAGTTTCCCCTTCCCCTGTCTCTTCAGAGGTAGCTGAATTGCTTACCTCCAAGCCCCAGGTCTCCCTGGGAAGGAAGAAAAAAAGGAAGAAAATACTAAACAACAAATTTCATAGAGGGCACTCAACATTGAGCTATAATTCCTAATATAGCTATGGTGCCATCGAAGCTGTATTGAGTTCTTCCTGCAGTGGCTCAAGTCCACCAGCTCCAGTGGTGATGAGAAAACTTACCAAAGAACTGTTTATAGTTGTATCTGTTGTGCAAGCAGCAAAATAACCTTCAGCATCTGCAAACTAAATATAACAAAAAACATACAATTCAATTAAACTTATAACGTAATATTAGTCAGACACAGCTCAAAAGAACAGAATAAAAATTCAAAACATACCTATAAGAGTATAACTACTACTAATAATTCCAATTAATGCCAAGTAATCAAAATGCAAGGCAGGTATTACCATTTTCATTTTATTGATGAAGAAACTGAGACTGATTGGTCTAATATCGAAGTTTATGCTTTTTACATAACACTCATAATAACATTTCAGGTAACTGGGAAGAATGAAAAGACAAGCAACATGTTGGTATTATCATGAAAATAGTTTTGAACTCATGAATCCCCTAAATGGAACTCAGGGGCTGGGTCAAACTTTAAGAACCACTCTAATGCTGTATAAGTATGACTTTATTTCCTACCTATAGCAACTCTCTCATTATCCTTGCTGGAAGTCTGAAGAGGTTAAATAACTTGTACAAGATCACACAACTGGTAAGTAAGAGAACAAGATTCAAACACCAGAGCCCATGCTCTCAAAGAGTCCTTTAAATCAGTAAGAAAAAAATAAAAGAATTCTACTGTCCAAGAGATATGGAGAAGTAACCAAAAACATAGATTAACCAAGATGCTAATAAATTGTTCACCCTCAAACTGGTGAATGACAGCATTTCTGGTAAGGGTTCAATCTGATACAACACTAACTGAGACTGAATTGGTACAACTATTGTAGAGGGTAATTTGGTAAAAAGAATCAAGAGCTTTAAAAATGAATTTCCCTTTTATTCACCATTATGCTTTCAGGAATTTAAGTGAATAACTACAGATAAGTATAAAGATATTTCCATTTATTGTATCAAATGCAAAAATAGGAACAATCTGTCAAAGGTAAACTAAAATAGGAAAAGATGATAAATTTTCTTTTTTCACCTAGAAAATCATGATATATTGTTGGGTGAAAAATAAAATTAGGTTAGAAAATTATATCTACATATATATAAAGAGAGATTAAGCCTATTCATGTTACATATATTTTTAATAGAACCATAGAAATATATAGTCTTATATAGTATCAAATATTTACAGAAGTCTTGGGATAGTGGGAAAATGGATAGACTATTCTTATTCTTCTTGTTATCATAATTTATCTTCAACAATGAACATTTATCATTACTAAAATAAAAAAATTCTTAAGAATAGCAGCATATATGCCATTATTATTCCTTCGTTATTTCTTGAATGGAAGAATTTACTATTTTGTTCTTTTGCTTCCTCTGTATTTCCTGCACATATGCTAGTTCATATACAATGTACTTCTACATGTAATACTACATTGCATGTGCACTTCTATCATGTATATGTATTACTTTTGCAAGGTAAAAGTATTCATATTTGTGACAAGTCAAATTTGTGTAGATATGGTATAGATTCTAGGCTTCACCTCAAAATCAGTTATTGAAAAGCCCCTGACAAAAATCAAACAAGTATATTTCTCAAAAAATAGATCAGAAATATTACTTTAACCCTTAAAAACCATTATACACAAAAGAAAACGACAAGGAAATATAGGGGTGACCAGCAGCTAGGGGAAGGAGATAAAGGGTTAATATTTAATTGGTACAGACTTTTGTTTGGGATGATGAAAAATTCTGGAGATGGATGGATGGTTGCACAGTAAAGTGATTGCGCTTAATGCCACTGAATTGTACATTTAGAAAGGGTTAAAATGGTAATTTTGATATTATGTATGTTTTACCAATAGAGAAAATTTCTAATAGGATTAATACTGGAGACAGTTTCATTTTCTTTATTCTCAAAAGTTGCCATGTTTCTATTTTTATAAGGAAGACACATCATTATGTAAAATATCATTTTCTGACACTATGAGTGAGTTTATATTAAATCAAAGAATATAATTTGCCAAACATCTGAAACATGTCCCAAAATATGCTATTTTCATTTTATAAAACCTTATAACCAACTTTATAACTAATTATTTGATATACAAGCTGCAAATAACCAAAAAGTCTACACATTCTTCTTTCTCCTTACTTTCATCTTTCTCTCCATATTAATTGATTTGGCCTAATTCAACAACTTTTAACAACTCAACTTATGTCACAGGGTGGGGGAAAGAAAGTTATTAGGTACTTTTGATTTCTCACAAGATATTCTGATACCATGTTAATCAGAAGACAAATAAAAATTTTGGACAAAAACAGCTTTTTCTTCTTTCTTTTTCTCCAAGGTAGGTTTTTCTTAAGCCATATTTTCACTCATTAAATGAACAACTTGATACCTGACTGACCTTATAGAAATTAATATATCTTTAAATTTTCAAAAAATATATACCTCCCCAATAAATAAGACTCAAAACTTACAAATGCAGCATGCTTGCCTCTAAATCCTCTTGTACACTGCTGTCTCCATGGCTTCCAAATAATAAAGCCCAGAAGGTACAGGACAAACATAGATGTTTTTGCAAAGGTACTGAAGAATGGTTTGTTGTACTGAGTAAAAACATACTGTAAAGGAAAAAGTTATACAGACATCTATGAGATGACTTTAAACCTTATTACTCATCTCCAAAAAAATAAAGCCATTATATGATTTTTAGAAGTAGTTCATTGCAATAAGAAAGGTCAAAAGGGATTATAAAAATATTTGTGATTCATTTCTGAATGCTTTATTTGCCTGGCATACAAACAATAATATTAACAAACAAAATAGCAATAACCTTCAAAAAAGTTTTGTTCAACATTCATTGAAAACCTACTGGGCAACAGTATCTGAGCTAAGGGCTAAAGAAAAATTAAATAGGCTTTCCTGCCCTTGAGGAACTTACAATCTAATAGAGGTGCCACATATAAAGAATATACAGCATAACATACTAAATACCATTACAGGGGTTCAGATTGCCACAGCAGCACCAAAAGGAAGACAACAATTTTTTTAAAGATTTATTTATTCATTTGAAATGTAGAGTTACAGAGAGGCAGAGGCAGAGGCAGAGAGAGAGATCTTCCATCCACTGGTTCCCTCCCCAGATGGCCACAAAGAGCCTGTGCTGCACCAAACTGAAGTCAGAAGCCAGGAGCTCCTTCTGGTCTCCCATGCAGGTACAGGGGCCCAAGGACGTGGTCACCTTCCACTGCTTTCCCAGGCCAGTAGCAGAGAGCTGGATCAGAAGTGGAGCAGCTGGGACTCGAACTGGTGCACAGATGGGATGCTGGCACTGCAGGGGGTGGCTTTACCTGCTATGCCACAGGGCTGACCCCAGATGACAACAATTTGAAAGTTGGGCTTGCTGCCTGAGAGGCAGGCTTTTCTTGAGATGTGTTAGAAATGCTGAAAAAGCAGTCAGCCAAAATGAAGGGAATAGCATAAAGAAAGGCAATGAAATAGAAGTGTGTGTAAAGACAACTATGTGAAGGTTAATGTTCTTGGGAAGTTATATTAAAACTATACTCTTCACTTAAATTAGAAAAATCAATTCACACTTAGGATTTTGTCTCCTAGAAAAAAATAACTTCTAATTATGTGCACTGAAAAGTCTCAGAAGAAATGATAACCTGAGAGGAATAAGCAACTCCAGGACCAGACAGCAGGGTATGCCATCTGGCACTACAATAAAGTATGGCTTCTAGAAGAAATGAGTAAATCCAGGTATGGAGAGAAAATATACAAGATGAGCCTGGGGGCACCTTGTGCCAGAAAGCAAGTAAGATGCTGAAGATTAGTAAGCTCATAGTAAAAGTACCCCAAAGCCAACTTGAAGGGGCTCCCATCTGTTAAAGATAGAACAGTGTAAACATTAAAAGAAATAGTTAAAATATTAAAAAATCTGAACAATCAACAAATTCTCAATGGTTACTACTAGAAGTTGCTAGATAATTCTACTCTAAAATAAAGACAAAAATTCAAATTTATTCACACTGTTATACATGAATCATGTTTCAAGATAACCAAACAGTAGTTATAAAAGAGCTCTTAAAGAATTCCAGCTAGGGGCTGCCACTGTGGCATGGCAAGTAAAGCCGCTACCTGCAATGCTAGCATCCCATATGGGCAGCGTTTCATGTCCTGGCTGGTCCACTTCAGATCCAGCTCCCTGCTAAGGGCCTGGGAAAACAGCACAAGATGGTCCAAGTGCTTGGGCTCCTGTATCCAAATGGGAGACCAGGTTGAAGCATCTGGCTCCTGGCTTCAGCCTGGCTAAGAACTGGGGATTGCAGCCATCTGGGGAGTGAAACAATGGATGCAAGATTGATCTCTCCTCTCTCTCTGTCTGTCTCTCTCTTTCTCTCTCTCTCTCCCCCTCCCTTTCACAAGAGATAAATAAATCTTAAAAAAAAAAAAAAAGCTTAGAAAAATCACTGAAACACCAGGACAATAGTCACATGGATATTCAATTACTAACTAAAGTTTGATGAGGAACCTTATAATGCTGAAGTGTCGTCAACCAAGGTGAGGCTTGCAGTCATTATGTGCTTTGTGTTACCATATGAAGTACCCAGTATCACCAAGGTATTTTTCCTAAAAACCTAAGCAGTACTTTACATCTAACTACCATTTTTCAGGAAATAAAAGAAAGAAAAAAAAGGTAAACACCTCAAGGAAGCAATCAGGGAAGTCTAGAATTTATTATATACATCCTACAGGAAAAGCTAACTAGCTTCTTCAACAAATCAATAGCATGAAAAAAAGAGAGGGGTTACAGTTAAGTAAAAAATTATTTCAAAGAGCCAACAAATTCATTGTGTGACCTTTGTTCAGATCTCAGTAACCACCCCCCCCCCCCCCCCGCAAAAGGTCTGGACACAAGGGCCAACCTGAATATGAACTATAAAGAACTTTAGCTAATTTTGTTAGATGTTAATGACAGTGATACGGTTTTTAAAATAACAGCACTAATCAGTTTGAGGTAAATAGACAAGAAATTATGTAGTTACAATTTGCTTTAAATACTGCAGGAAGGGCAAGGATTTGGCACAGCAATTGGGACACCTGCAATCCACATCAGAGTGCCTGGTTTGAATCCCAGCTACTCCACTTCCAATCCACATTCCTATTAGTGCACATCCTGAAAGGCAGCAGATGATGGCTTAAGTACTTGGAGTGCCTGCCACCCATGTGGAAGATCTGGATTGGGTTCCAGACTCCTGGCTTCAGACTGGTAAACCCTGGCTACTGTGGGCATCTGGGGAGTGAACCAACAGATGAAAGATCTCCATCTGTCTTTCTGCCATGCAAATCAAATGAAAGATAAATGAAAACAAAACAAAACCAAAAATAATACAGGAAAAAATTCAGGGCTAATGTTGTGATGTAGCAGGTAAAAGCTGCCGCCTGTGACACCAGCATCCCATATGGGAGCCCATTTATGTTCATGTCCAAGCTGCTTCACTTCCAATCCAGCTACCTGCTAGTGGCCTGGGAAAAGCAGCAGAAGATGGCACAGGTGTTTGGGTCGCGGCCACCCACATGGGAGACCCAGATGAAGTTCCTGGCTCTTGGCTTTGACCTGGCCCAGCCCTGGCCATTGCAGCCATCTGGGGAGTGAACCAGTAGATGATAGATCTCTTTTTGTCTCCTCCTCCCCCCATCCCTTTCCTTCTCTCTCTCTCTCTCTCTGTATCTCTGATTTTCAAATGCAATAAATAAATCTTAAAAAGAAAAGAAAAGATTTGAGAGAGGGGTTGACAAGCTGGCAAAATTTGATAATTGTTAAGCAATGAGTACCTGGAGATGAATTATACTATTCTCTTTACTTCACATGTTAGAAATTTCCAAATTAAAAATAATAATTTTAGTTTTGAAATACATTAAGAGTTTGATGAATTTGTCAGACTGCAGAACTAGATATTTTACATATGCTCTTGCATAATGAAGTTATAAAATAGCCTCTAAAATATTTTTTTATAAAAACAAGGGTTTTTTTCCAGCTTTATTGATAGTAACAGACACATAAAAATTGAATATAATTACTATGTACAATGTGGTATTTTCATGTATATATACATTATGAAATTATCTCCACAAACAAGTTGGGTTATTTTTAACCTTGCTTAGATACAAGTTGCAAAGTTACAATTTAATCAGATGCTCTTGTGTCCTAAATTTTATTATCTAATAAATAAAACAATTTAATTAAAACTAAAACAAAATTTAAGATATATTTGGCAGCAGGCATTTAGACTAGCAGTTAAGACTCCTGCATCTCACATCTGAGTACCTGGGTTGGATACTTGGCTCTGGCTCCAAGAGCCCAGCTTTGACTAATGCAGAGCCTGGGAGGTAGCAGTGATGGTTCAAGTAATCTCTCCTGAAACTCACATGAGAGATCTGGATTGAATTCCTGGCTCTTAGCTTCTGTCCAGTCCAGTCCCGGCCACTGAGGACATTTGAAGAATGTATCGGCTGATGGTCGTTTTCTGTCTCTCTCTACCTCTCTGCCCTTCCAATTTAAAAATTACATTAAAAAAAAAACAACATAGGTTTTGTTTCCTGTCAACATTCAGAGTATTACTTTGAGGTAAAAACCACAGAGTGTTAAATTAATCTAAAAAAGGTTCTAGAAAAATTCAAAAGTAAAAACTGGCTTGTAGTATTCCAAAGAAACTAAAAAAATGTTATACAGAGGATATAATGTCCATGTCAATTATTCATATATGAAAAGTGAGAAGACTTACAACATCTAACTGCTTCTTTCAACATTTAAATTCATTTTATAAATACAAGCTCCCTTTTGGAAATTTGCCTTAAGACTGCATCATGAGTCAAAATGTAGTAAATTCTGAAAATAAAAATGTCTTTTTATAAAGAATATTAAACACACAGCATTAAGTCTACAAATAGAGAAACTATTTCTAAACTCAAAGTACCACATCACTACCAATGGGTCATTAATAAAGACGAATTTTAACTGAAGGCAATCATTGTATACCATGTACTTTGTAACAGTGTTTGAGTCAGCAAACATATAAATGGGAAAGCACCCAGGCCTCTGCATAGTAGTGACCTATACATGAAAATCTGAGCACTTTTACTCTTGTCCAAAAACATTCTTATTTTATACTAAATGGAGACTGTTAGATTCCTGAATGGCTATTAATTAGAATATTTATAGAGAAAGAAACTGAATTTAGAAAAAAAACAAACACATTCAAAGATTAATATGAATTCTCTCTAATAAGTAATTCTCTCTAAAAGATACAATAAGACTGAATGAGTAGCATACATTGTGGCACGGCAGGTTAAGCTACTACTTGTGATGCCCCTATTCCATAAGAGTGCTGGTTCAAGTCCTGGCTGCTCTGCTTCTGATCCAGCTCCCTTCTAACCCACCAAGGAAGGCAAGGGGAAGCTGACCCAAGTGCTTGGGGCCCTGGAAGACTAGATGGAGTTCTGGGTTCCTGGCTCAGCCCCAGCTGTCGTGGCCATTTAGGCAGTAAAATACTGGATAGAAGATCGCTGTCTCTCCCACCATAACTATGCCTTTCAAATAAATGAATCTTAAGAAAAAGAAAACAAACAAAAAACAGGTTTTCACTTGAATTGACACAATTCATTATAAAAGAAAAGTAAATAATCCCACAATATTTAAAACACAATTTTTAGTAAGCATGAGAGTAATGGATAGAACTACTATGGGTTAAGAGAAATAGTGTCATTCTCATGTGACACCATTACTGAATAAGAGGTACATACCGAAGTGAGTTCAGAAGAGGCCACCCATATCACATCAACAAGCAGGAGAATAACAATCCCCAGAGCCATCCGCCTGCGCTGAGTGAAGCCACTGTTCGGGGAGTTCATGCGGTTCATGATAAACACACACACCATTTGTAGTCTGCTTTTCAGAAAATACAGATCTCATTAGAGATGACTTTGGAAAAACAAGCGAATAAAAAGAAAAAAGGAGTGGAACAGAAACACGTGACATTTGTTAGCTAATGTTCAGTATGAAAATCGCTTAGTATTTAAAGAGCCTGGAATTTACCTTGTTGTAAGGCCCTTTCGGAGATCTTCGAAAGCAATGCCTGAAAACCTGGATCTCAGTCTAAAAGGAGGTGAAGAACTCAGCACACCTAAAAACCACAAAACACTGCTTACGAAAACGTCAACTCAAGATTTATCACATCTTTTCCACCCCTCACGTTCAGACTGAAAGCAAATGAAAACATCAAAGTGTCAAGCATAATGGACACCTTTCCCTGTGCCCCTCTGAGGGGTACGCTGTATGGGGAGAGCAATATTCCAGTCAGCTTATTTAAGAACAGTTAGCTGTTTGAAGACAGCTGCTCCGAGTCTCACAAATGCACAACTCCATTCATGTCTCCTTGCAGAGGAATTCACCCCAGAGACAAGGTCCAGACACACGCCCGTTTCTACAAATGTGTTTTCTGCATCTAAGCTCCCGGGGTGGAATTCGCTGATTGGAGAGGCAGTGATCTGCAGTGGGTCTTGAAGGCACCTTTCCAACCCCCTTAACGTGGTAGAGGAAAAGGATCCTCCACGCTCCCCCACCCACGCCTGTCACTACATCTCGTTATTTCAGATCCAAGCAGTAATTCTTCAGGAAGGGAAGAAGCAGCTGTTAAAAAGGAAACACCCCCACCCCACCCCTTTTTTTTTGGAGGAAAAAAAGTTAAGTCGGTGGCGCCTCCGGTGAAAGAGAGGTAAAGCCCCAGGCGACCACGCACGAGCAGCTGGCTTAATCGCTGGAGTCTGGAGCCGGGTCAGAAGCCCCTGTCAGCCGACCGCTCTCTCCACCCCTCGAGACCACCATCAGCGGTCCTGTCAAGGCGCTAGCAAAGGCTGCAGGTGGGCTGTTCGCGGGCACTTGGTTCCGGCTTCGGCTCCGGGTGACTTCGGGGCCCTTCCCTGCCTGCCTACCTGGCCTTCCTGCCCCGCGATGGCGTCGTGGCGGCACCATGAGCGGACCCGGCCCGGTCCCGCCGTCGCCCAGCGCCACGGCCGCGGCCTCGGACTCACAGAGCTGTCACTGCGCTCGACATCGCGCCGCGGTGGAGGCAGAGCCCCTGAAGCCGCGTGCCCCACAGGGCAAGGCCGCCGACACCTCCCAACTCCACTCGGGCCGGGAGGGCGGGGAGTGAGCAAGGGGAAGGGACAGTGCAAGCTGCGATGGCCGCGGAGGCCCGGAGCTCGGCCCTGGCTCCGGCCCCGCCCCCGGCCGGCCAGCTCCGCGGCCCCGCCCCCCGACCCGACGGCGGCGCGCGGGCTACGTCACGTCGCGGCGACGGCAGACCGTGGGTGCATCTCCACGGTGACTTGGCAGCGCCCAGCGATGTATTGCCCGGAATGCCGCGCCCATCAAGGAGATGCGTCGGTGACGCGGTCGGGGAGCCGCGATAGGAAGAAAGGAAGTAGGGTGAGGCGGAGGGAGAAAGAGGGAAGCTGGCGGCGCTGGGTGGGGAAGAGAGCGAGCAGGGAAGTGAGAGCCTCTAGGCAACCCCTCCCTAGAACCTACGCGAGCAGCTCCCTCTCCTGCTGAGTTGGTAACTTTTGTCACCCGTTTCTCGAAGAGGGGAGTGGAAAGCAAAGTGGCCTGGGAATACTTTGGGTTCCTGGAAACTTTCATATGTAGACTACATCCTAGCTCTTGAACTGACAAGCTGTATCTTAGGGCAAAATATTTCTCACGTGGCACCTCAATGTCTTCATCTAAAGAATGGGGATAATGAAAGTACCTGCCGTTATCTGCCGTGTGTGTGTGTGGATGGATTATGTGAGTTTACAAATGTAAAGGGCTTATATGTCGATTCGTGGCACATAGACTCCAAGTGGTCGGCATCTTGACTTACAGTTGGAAAACAAAAATGAGGTTTAAGAATTCTGTAAGATAACTGGTATTGACTATCACAAGTGCCTTTTTAAAAAGATTTATTTTATTTGAAAAGCAGAGTTACAAAGAGAGAGAGAGGGAGGGAGAGACAGAGAAGGATCTTCCATCTGCTGGTTCACTCCCCAAATGGCCGCATTCGGTGGGGCTGGACCAGACTGCAGCCAGGAGCCTCTTCCAGGTCTCCCACATGGATGTAGGGGCTCAAGCACCTGGGCCATGTCCCACTGCTTTTCCAGACCATCAGCAGGGAGCTGGATCCAAGTGAAGCAGCGGGGACTGGACCTAGTGCCCAAACGGGATGCTTAACATGCCGGCCTCCACAAATGCGTTTTTGACATCTTAGTACGATGAAATTATGGGATTGACATTACTTTTTAAGTCTTCTTTGTTTCACAGAAATTTAATATATATTCATATGACCAAAAAGCACCAATGAACATTGTTGTGTTGATCTAATCAGTTTCTAATAAACTCTCAACATCAAGCATTTATAATAAATAAGTCAGAAATGTATTCTAGTAAGTTGTGCAGAGTAGAAAAACAGGAAAGGGGAGGGTTGCGGGTGGGAGGGAAGTTATGGGGAGGGAAGCCATTGTAATCCATAAGCTGTACTTTGGAAATTTATATTCATTAAATAAAAGTTTAAAAAAAAAAGAAAAACAGTCATCTACTTGCAATTGTTATTCAGGGGAAATTTGGTTGCAGATATTAATCAAATTATTCCAGAAGTAGTTTATTCTTTTCTTTCTTTCATTAACATTCTAAAGGATGTCAGGGTTGTAATATACTTAGAAATTTTTTATTCTACATGTATGACACATAGTCTGAAAACAGAATGCTACTGCAACTATTCCTCATGATCTAAGAGCCAGGAAAGCCATGTTCTATTTCCTAATCTCACCACAATTTGTTATGTACCCTTGTAGATTACACTACCCCCACTGTGCCTCAGTTCTCCACTATATTCTCAGCACCAAAACTAGTGCCTAGCAGAGTTGGCAGTCAGTGGTTAATGAACTTGAACATCCTTCTGTGTCTTGAACTTTTCCTTATACATAATTCCTCTCCCAAGTCTCCATTTATGTCATTTGGTAGTACCATTTTCCTGATCTCAGTCCTAATCTTTTCTTTTTAATTAATTTCCCTGTTATTCTTCAAACTTGATCACTTTTAAATCCTTTTGAAATCTCTTCATTGTAAACCCTCACAATTCATCAGGTGATAATTCTGACACCTTCGAAAAATTCCCTGAAATCTACTCCAGAGAAAATAATTTCCCCAATACATATACTACAAAATTAATATGAAAGCAAAGGATGTGTGTGTGTTAATAGTTGAATGCAGCTATAACCTGTACATTCCACATGTGCAAATAACCTTCAAATGAGTACAACAAAGGATATTTACAGTCAGCTTTGTATATCTGAGGATTCTTTATCTATTTGATGGGAAAATGCATCTTCCTTGAACATGTACAGACTTCATGTCTTTAATCCCCAAATCCTGTAATATAGACTAAGCACTATTTACATAGCATTTATGTTGTATATTAGGTATTATAGCTAATCTAGACGAGTCAAAACACGTGGGAGAATGTGTGAGAGTATATGCAAACACTATGCTAGTTTAAATAAGGGACTTGAACATCAGAGGATTTGGTATCTGAGGGTGCTAAAACCAGTCCTCAGATACTGAGACAGCTGTACTCAAAACTTACTATAGCAAAGCAGACAGCCATAGTCACTTGTGTTCAGCAGTGAACACAAAGGCAATCAGTGCAATGTGGAAGCTTTATTGGGACAAGGAGGAAAGGCTTCATGGATGCCCTCCAACCCTGATTGGGGTTTTATATAGGGATGATGGAGGCAGGTTAACTAGAAGAAAGGCATCCTATATAGTTAGTTAAGGGGTACATATTTGGCTTTCTCTGGTTGGTCCAAAGTTGGAAATAAGACAAAAACTAAGGAAACTGGCAGCTGTTGATCAAGTCCTAGTCATTTGGAGTTGCTGGCTTCAGAGATTGTGGTTGCTTTTCTGAACTGGTTGCTTCAGAGGTTGTGGGTCAGAGTTCTATTTTTATATATGCTCTGGCCATTGTCCATGTGTATATTTAGTGTCTGTCTCACAACAGTCTACTGCATATATCATCATATTCTCTACAATACCTACCAGATTGCTGGGCACACAGCTTGATAAATACTCAATTTTGTTTCTAAGATACAGCTAAACTAAGGTTCACAATTTTAAAATATATATTATATATTTTTAAATATAGATATGTAAAAGACTTCTTTTAGATTTGAACTTTACTGCATTTTGAATTTGAACCTTACTGTGAATTATATGCCATAGTGGAGGCCATAAACTTAGGAGGTTCTGAGATACTTAAGGTACTAAGGGTTATTGTATGCAATCAAGTCCTAGATTTTGTGGGGTTTAGTGGCAAGGTGGAGGAGCAAAATGTCAACAGAGATGTGAATGAAAGTTCTAAACATCTACAGAGTAACCATCTCGGCAGTACTGGATGGAAGTCCACTCGTAGGTTGATGCCCACTCATTGAGGGCATGGACCAGAGTTCTGAGTGCTTGATGTGTCTGGATAGCTATAGATGGAGAAGACTTTGGAAAAGAGAGAATCTAAGCTTGATTTTAATGATGGGGAGAACTGTGATAAAGGGATAATATTTTTTTCTAAGTGAATAAAATATAACCAAAAGAAAAAGGTGTGTTCGGAGACAAGTTATAAAACTGGTTTGGCAGAGCACAGCATGTATGTAGAGAAGCAATGGGAAATAAGACAGGTCAGGTGAGTTCTGGGGATATTGACACCTGCTCTAGAAACTAGATTAGAGATTTGGGACTTTTAATTTGCATATAATGAAAACCTAAGGGTTTTTAAACAAGAAAGAAACACTTTAGTGAATCAGAAATTATTAAATATCCACATGATGTCTACTATGTGTTGGGACTGTGTCAAGAGTACCACATAGGGGCCGGTGCCGTATCGTAGTAGGTTAATCCTCCACTTTTGGTGCCAGCATCCCATATGGGCTCCGGTTCTAGTCCTGGCTGCTCCTCTTCCAATCCAGTTCTCTGCTATGGGCTGGGAAAGCAGTGGAAGATGGCCCAAGTCCTTGGGCCCCTGCACTCACATAGGAGACCTGGAAGAAGCTCGTGGCTCCTGGCTTCGGATTGGCACAGCTCCGGCGGTTGCGGCCATTTAGGGAGTGAACCAATGGATGGAAGACTTTCTGTCTCTCCCTCTCACTGTCTGTAACTCTGACTTTCAAATAAATAAATAAAATCTTTAAAAAAAAAAAAAAAGAGTACCACATAAGGCGTGGGCCTACTTTCAAGGAAATTATGGGATAGAGAAAATTGATTCTCTAAATAGAGAACGTATATTCCAAGCTTGAAGATGCTGAGTCTAAATGCACTTCTCAAGTATCCTTTTAGCACCCTGTACCCATACTGGACACTAAATTGATGGTCATTTTGAAAATGGTCTCAATTGTCACTTCCTTATATCTTACTGTTGAAGGCATCGTTGGGAGGGAAGTGAATAATAAAGTAAAAGGCTCATCTGATTATCTCTGACCAATTTAAAGTGGCCCTGTTCATGCCCACCCAGTGCCTGAAACCAGGTGACGCAGGCGACCTGCCAGCTGAATGGCCCAAGCAGCAGACTAGCATGTGGTAATAAGGAGCTTATTGATGCCACACCTGATCTGAAGCTAGGAGCCAGGAGCTTCTGGGTCTCCCATGCGGGTGCAGGGGCCCAAGGACTTGGGCCATATTCTACTGCTTTCCCAGGCCATAGCAGAGAGTTGGATCGGAAGTGGAGCAGCCGGGTCTCCCCGGCGCCCACGTGGGATGCCAGCGCTTTAGGCCAGCATTAACCCGCTGAGCCACAGCGCCAGCCCCGCTGTCTCCTGTTTTAAGCAAAGACTTCCAAAGCACAGAACAACCAACTATCAAAGACCATAACAGTCTAAGGTCAGATTTTAGACAGTCCATGTGGAACTCAGAAACAGGGGTTTCGAACTTAGTGATAACATCAGCACACTATTCAAATCAAAGCTATATTTGTAGAATAAGAATCCATGACGAGTTAAAAAGAATTTACTTGAAGAGAGTTTTCACTTTATGTAAATATCTCTGATTCCTTAGGGATTTTGAAGGTCTGCTTCTCCCTTTCTTAACCCAAGCAAGGGGAAAGGTGCTCTTCAAAAGAACATTCAAAGATCTTGCCTTATGTTTTCTGTTGTTAATATTTATTTATTTTATGTATTTAAAAGACTGAGAGGTCTTCCATCTACTAGTTCATTCCCTAAATGGCTCCAATAGCCAGGGCTGGGCCAGACTGAAGCTAGGGGCAAAGAACCCCATCCAGGTCTCCCATGTGAGTGGCAGGGATTCAAGTACTTAAGCCATCATCTGCTGCCTCCCAAAGGCATTAGCAGAGAGCTGGATCAGAAGCCAAGTAACCAAAACTCAACAGATACTCCAATATGAGTTGTGGATGT